CACTCAGTATGAGTGTGTGTGTGCTTGTGCATGTGCGTGCATGTGTGTGTGTGTGTGGGTGTGTGGGTGTGTGTGCTTGTGCATGTGTGTGTGTGTGTGTGTGTGTGTGTGTGTGTGTGTGTGTGTGTGTGTGTGTGTGTGTGTGTGTGTGTGTGTGTGTGCGTGTGTGTGTGTGCGTGCGTGCGTACGTGTGTGTGTGTTTATGCGTGTATGTATGTGTGTGTGTGCGTTTTAACTCCTGACGTCACTCTGGGCTTGGCTCCTCATCAGCTCCCCCCCCCCCCATCTAACTCAAAATTCAGCCATCACCCAACCCTTAAAGAGACAACACCAGCCTAACATCAGCAGAAATCCATCTTTTCCTCCCACTCACATTCAGACTACAAAGCTCTTTCAACATTCAATACAGCTCTTTCAACATTCAGAATACAAAGAGCTTCCGTATTGCAGTATCCCAGCCCATCTATCCCACCTATCCCTCTATACTAAAGCTATAGACTAAGGGGCGTCTCTCCTTCGACAAGCTTCCATCTATCCCTGTCAAAGCCCGCGACCCACGCCATGGTAGACTATCCCTTAGCGCATTATAAGGGGAAGGGTGGGGGGCGGTATGTTAAGGATGGTGAGGATAGAGATAGATAGAGAGATTGTGGTTTCTTTATAGAAAGGTGGGATGGATTGCTTCATTATGTTATCTTAGGGAGTTTACTTAAATACCAGGATATAGTGGTTGTAATTATTTCTAAGGTTAAGGATGTGTTCCATCATAAAAAAAATAGATTCTTAGAAGCAAAAAAAGATTTAAAAAAAACACCACAGGAGTTAGTTGGTCTGCGAAAGATGGCAGGAAAGACTAATTTACTCAATCACTAAAATATTGTGATTTCGAATTATTCATAGAGAGATTTAAGATCTGCTTCATTAAGACTTCTCAAATGAATAAAATTAAATATATCTTTTAGATTTGAAGAGGTTAGAAAGCTACAAAACGATGGTAGAAGAAGCTACTTTGCTCTACAACATGTGGTAAAGATTAAAATATAAAATGTATTTATCTTTTTTTAAGACAGATGGAGGAGGAAGTGATTAATTAGTAAAATGCAATAAAAGGAAATAAATTAATATAAACTTGATATTCCAGTTTGTAAGCAGTTATTTTTTCCCCAAAGTTTATGTAAATTATTAGATACCAAGCTTCTAAACACAAAACTTCTCAAATCTGACAGCATTTCTTCATCCATATTACCAACCCCAAAATAATGTAGTGTGATATTGATTGAGAAAGAAAACCATAGTCGTCGTGTTTTCCCCTTTTCTGTCTTGAGTTTACCTGTCAAGGAATTCCTGGTTAGCTTGTAAATCTGGTAATGTGAGGGAAACCCTTTTTCTGCGTGACTTTCATGTTTATAATCCCCTTAAGTAAATCCCAGAAGCTTATATATATATATATATATATATATATATATATATATATATATATATGTGTGTGTGTGTGTGTGTGTGTGTGTGTGTGTGTGTGTGTGTGTGTGTGTGTGTGTGTGTGTGTGTGCAGAGAGAGAGAGAGAGAGAGAGAGAGAGAGAGAGAGAGAGAGAGAGAGAGAGAGAGAGAGAGAGAGAGAGAGAGAGAAAGAGAAAGAAAGAGAATAAGAGAAAGAGAAAGAGTGAGAATGAAAGAGAACGAAAGAAAAAAAAAACAGATGAAAGAGAACGAGAAAACCATAGAGAGACATAAACATAACATCCCTCTACACAGACAAACGTAGCAGACATAACACCCACTCTTGCCAAGCCACCGGAGAGCCCCTTTGCGAGACCTTGCTATAAAGCCTTGAACTTCTTCGCTCGGGATCCTCTGCCGTCCCTCGCCTCCTGTCTTCTGGCTCGTCTGCTGTGCCCGCGGCTGGTAAGGCACCTCGGCTTCCCTTGCAGCGGCCTTTCCTTTCATAGGTTTATTCCGTTTTCTTCTGTTTATTCTGTTTTCTTCTGTTTATTCCGGTTGATTCTGTTTATTCCGTTTTCTTCTGTTTATTCCGTTTTCTTCTGTTTATTGCGGTTGATTCTGTATATTCCGTTTTCTTTTGTTTATTCCGTTTTCTTCTGTTTATTGCGGTTGATTCTGTTTATTCCGTTTTCTTCTGTTTATTCCGTTTTCTTCTGTTTATTGCGGTTGATTCTGTTTATTCCGTTTTCTTCTGTTTATTCCGTTTTCTTCTGTTTATTGCGGTTGATTCTGTTTATTCCGTTTTCTTCTGTTTATTCCGTTTTCTTCTGTTTATTTCGTTTTCTTCTGTTTATTCTATTTTCGTTTTTCTTTGGTTCGTGGTTGGATTTTTTTGTTTGTTTGTTTATTTGTGATTTTGCCTCTCTTTGCGTTGTTAGTTCCTTCTTTCTCATTGTTCTTCTTCTCTCTTTCTTTTTCTCATCTCTTCCTTTTCTGTCTTTTTCTTCACCTTTTCCAATGTTCTTAGTCTGTTTTTCCTCATATCTGCACATTTTCCCCTTATTCGTCCTCTCTCTCTCTCTCTCTCTCTCTCTCTCTCTCTCTCTCTCTCTCTCTCTCTCTCTCTCTCTCTCTCTCTCTCTCTCTCTCTCTCTCTCTCTCCCTCTCTCCCTCTCCCCCTCCCTCCCTCCTTCCTTCCCTCCCCCTCTCCTTTTTTCCCCCTCCCTCTCCCTCTCATTCTCCCTCCCTCTCCTTCTCCCTCCCTCCCCCTCCCTCCCTCCTCCTCCCTTCTCTCCTCCCTCTCCCTCTCCCTCTCATTCTCCCTCCCTCTCCCTCTCCCTCCCTCTCCTTCTCCCTCCCTCCTCCCTCCCTCCCTCTCTCCTCCCTACCTCTCCCTCCCTCCTTCTCTCCCCCTCCCTCCCCTCTCCTCCCTACCTCTCCCTCCTTCTCTCCTCCCTACCTCTCCCTCCCTCCTCCCTCCCTCCCTCCTCTCCCCCTCCCTCCTCTCCCCCTCCCTCCTCTCCCCCTCCCTCTCCTTCCCGCTCCCTCTCCTCTCCTCCCTCCCTCCCTCTCCTTCTCTCCTCCCTCCCACTTCCTCCCTCCTTCTCTCCCCCTCCCTCTCCTCTCCTCCCTACCTCTCCCTCCCTCCTCTCCCTCTCACTCTCATTCTCCCTCCCTCTCCCTCTCCCTCCCTCTCCTTCTCCCTCTCCCTCCTCCCTCCCTCCCTCTCTCCTCCCTTCCATCCCATCCCTGTCGATGCATCATCCTTCAATAAGGTCCTTGCAGCCATGTTTTTTTTTTTATCCTGCCATCTATCCCCGTGACCTCTCGTGACCTCTTCCCTCTCTTCCCACGGCCTTGCTCCCTCGACCAGAAAGGTTGATGGAACAGGATTAGCTTAGCCGTTGATTATCAGGTGCTATGGCGTGGTATACACATGTGCACGTGCGTATATACACATGTGTACATAGGTAAGTATGTCGTTCGTGGAGTTATATGTGTGCGAGAAGATAATTATATATGTGTTGTGTTGTTTCTATGGGGAGAGGGAGGGGGAGGGGGAGAGGGTAATAGAAACACAGAGGCAATGATAAAGACAGAGAGAGAGAAAGAGGGAGAGTGAAAGAGAGAGAGAGAGAGAGAGAGAGAGAGAGAGAGAGAGAGAGAGAGAGAGAGGGAGAGAGAGAGAGAGAGAGAGAGAGAGAAAGAGGGAGAGGGAAAGGGAGAGGGAGAGAGAGAGAGAGAGAGAGAGAGAGAGAGAGAGAGAGAGAGAGAGAGAGAGAGAGAGAGAGAGAGAGAGAGAGAGAAAGAGGGAGAGGGAAAGAGAGAGAGAGAGAGAGAGAGAGAGAGAGAGAGAGAGAGAGAGAGAGAGAGAGAGAGAGAGAGAGAGAGAGAGAGAGACAGACAGAGACAGACAGACAGACAGAGAAAGAAAGAAAGAAAGAAAGAAAGAAAGAGAGAGAGAGAGAGAGACAGACAGACAGACAGACAGACAGACAGAGAAAGAAAGAAAGAAAGAAAGAGAGAGAGAGAGAGAAAAAGAGAAAATCAGCCAGTCACACAGACAGAAAAAGAGAAACAGGCATAGAACCGGACATACAGACAGACAGACAACTGGTCACGTACGCAGAAACAGACGATAATTGATCGTTCACGCGGTTCTCAAGGTGTGTTTGTTCAAGATAACGTTCAGCTGAGTAAAGGAATGTTCTTACCTGGAGTAAATTCCCAAAGAGTAGAAACCATTAGCACTCGAGTTATAACCACAAAGAAGGAGAGAAGAAAAGGAAGTAGAGGAAGATAATAAAGTAGAAGAACGGGAGGAAGAGGAGGAAGAAAAGAAGGGGGAGGAGGAGGAGGAAGAAAAGAAGGGAGAGGAGGAGGAAGAAAAGAAGGGAGAGGAGGAGGAAGAAAAGAAGGGAGAAGAGGAGGAAGAAAAGAAGGGAGAGGAGGAGGAAGAAAAGAAGGGAGAAGAGGAGGAAGAAAAGAAGGGAGAGGAGGAGGAAGAAAAGAAGGGAGAGGAGGAGGAAGAAAAGAAGGGAGAAGAGGAGGAAGAAAAGAAGGGAGAGGAGGAGGAAGAAAAGAAGGGAGAGGAGGAGGAGGGGGGATAGGAAGGAGAAGGGAGGAAGTGGGAGGAAGAAGAAGAAGAAGGAGTAGGAGGAGAAGGAGAAGAGGTAGAAGAAGAAGGAGAAGATGAGATAGGATTAGGAAAAGGAGAGAGAAAAGAATAAAATGATGAAAGAGAAGAAAACACTGAAGACGGAGACGAATAGGAAGAAGACGACGAATGCGAAGACAAAGAAGAAGACAAAAAACAAAAGCAAAAAACAGAAGCAGAAGAAAAAGACAAAGAAATAGAAGAAGAAGAACCAAACAAAAACATGGAACAAGAAAGAAAGAAAAAAAAAGAAACGAACAAAATAAAATCCAACCATTACAAACAAAGACAAAACCAAACAAAAAATGTCTATGTTATATATTCCGGAAACGACTCATTTATCCTCGCTTTAACCGACGCAAAACTATTTTTAAAAAAACTAAACAAAAAAAAAAATCTTACCTTTTTGTGACGTAATTTCTCGTTTTCTTTGTCTCTTGCTTTAAATAGTTAGGATAATTGTGCTGCTGTTTCGTTTTGACATTAATGGAGATT